TTGAAGAAAGGAAGTAGGAAGAAGGCAGCATAGAACTGGAACAAAAGGGTTGAACATAGCCTAATCTATTCCTGACCACTTCCTCACCACCATCTGTTTTCTCAAAGTTAGTATTAGGTGGGGTAGTGAGAGAGGAAAATGATGAGTAGGTCAAGGGCATGATGAAGAATAAAGGGAGGAAGAGAGAAGAATGATGAGGTAGAAGGGTAAGAAGTGCAGAAGAGAGAGAATTATAAGAAGTGCTAGCATGGGGAGGAGGGCTGAGTCAAGGGAAGAGCAGAGGCAGAAGAACAAAGACCGAGAAAAGTGGTCAAAGGAAAGAGAGCTGAGGGAAGAGGACAGCAGGAGAAGGGGAGGGTGGAGGAGGGCAAAGAGTGGAAGGAAACACACAGAAAGAAGGAAGTGAAGAGGGCAGAGAGAAGGGAGAATACTAGGTAGAATTGCGGATAGCGGCAGTTTAAAGACAGATAAATAGGTTAGTAGAGGAAGAACAGAGGGAAGAAGGCAGAAGACCTTAGTTAAGAGAGGAGAGGAAGCTAGCAGGGGGAAAAAGAGAAGGTGGAAGAAGAAAAATATCAGAAGGAGAAGACAGGAGAGCAAAGGAGAGAGAAGAACAGGGATGATGTAAGAGAATAAAGAGAAAGGCAGAGGTGGTTTGATGGAATACAGAAGAGAGTAGGCCTAAGGAGATGAAAATAGAGGATGAAGAAGAAGGAGTTTAGAAGTACAAGAAAACAGAGGGAGGAGAAAACTGGAAGATACAAGGGTGGTAAAAGGACACAGGAGTGAGTAGATCAAGGAAGGACATGAAGGGAGGATAGGAGGTAAATGGTTGGAGGGAGAGGTAAGAAAATGGAGGGGTTGGAGGGTTGGAGTGGTAGGAAATTGTACGAAAAGCGGTATACATCATAGGGAGAAGACAGATTCCAGAGGGAGGACTCAAGGGAGGAGAGCATGGATGAGGTCAGAAGGAAGAGGTTAGAGGGAGGACAGCAGATCAGATGGGGGAAAAGAGGTAGGAGTGTAGAGAACAGAGTGTGATGTCATAATCAGAGTAGGCTGAGTCAGGGGGCAGGGTCAGCAGGAGAATGGGGAGGTCAGTCCAGAGTTGGAGACAGCAGAGGACAGAGGGAAGAGATCTAAGGGAGGAAAAGACCACAGGTAAGAGGGACAGGAGGGCAGTAGGAGAGAAAGAAGGTGAAGAAAGGAAGTCATCAGGATCAAAAAGAGGAAGCCAAAGACTATAGAGAAAAAAACAGGCCAGGGCAGAAGGAAGGGGTCAGAGGGATCATAATAAAGGAGGTCAAAGAGAACAGAGTGAAGAGTGAACAGGAGGGCTCAGGGCAAAACTTGGAAATTGGAGGAAAGAATAAAGGGAGAATGGAAGACAGAAAAGGTTGGAGGGGATGAAGGCAGAGGGAGGATAATAGAGGAGGTTGGAGGAAGGATGGAATTATATGAAGGGAGATGGAGATCAAAAGATGATGGAGATCAAAGGGCTTAGGAGAGGAAGAACAGGGGAGAGGGAGTAGGAGGGCAAAGGGAGAGGACAGAGGGCTTGTGAAGGAGAGGGGGTTGCGTTGCGGGACGGGGGAGAGGATGCTTGAGGAAGAAATCAGAGGAAAAGGAGGGAGCAATATGGAAGACAGGAAGTGCAGAGACAGGGTAGTGAGGAGCACAGAGTACAGTGTGATGTCATAATCAGAGTGGGCAGAGTCAGCAGGGAAAGGTCAGCAGGAGAACAGTGGGAGGTCAGTCCAGAGTTGGAGACAGCAGAGGTCAGAGGGAAGAGAAGTAAGGGAGGAAAAGACCACAGGTAAGAGGGAAGGGAGGGCAGTAGGTGAGAGAAAGGAAGTGAAGAATGGAAGCCATAGAGGATCAAGAAGAGAAGATCAAAGACTATAGAAGGAAAAAAAAGGTTTGAGGAAGTAACAGGAGGTTTCCAGGGGTGAGAGAGCATAAGGAATTGGGGAAAGGGATGGAAACATAGGAAAGACAGAAGGTTGTGGAGGACAAGAGAACAAAGAGTAGACAGGAGGGCTAGGGCAGAACTAGGACATCAGAGGGAATGATAAAGGGAGAAGGAAAGAAGGAAAAGGTTGGAGGGGAAGAAGGCAGAGGGAGGATAATAGAGGAAGTGGGAGGAAGGAGGGAATTATATGAAGGGAGATGGATATCAAATGATGGAGATCAAAGGGCTTAGAAGAGGAAAGACGGGGGAGAAGGAGTAGGAGGGCAAAGGAAGAGGACAGAGGGCTTGTGAAGGAGAGGGGGTTGTGTTGAGGGACAGGGGAGAGGATGCTTGAGGGAGGAAGAAATCAGAGGAAAAGGAGGGAGCAATATGGAAGACAGGAAGTGCAGAGACAGGGTAGTGAGGAGCACAGAGAGCAGAGTGATGTCATAATCAGAGTGGGCGGAGTCAGCAGGTAAAGGTCAGGAGAACAGTGGGAGGTCAGTCCAGAGTTGGAGACAGCAGAGGACAGAGGGAAGAGATCTAAGGGAGGAAAAGACCACAGGTAAGAGGGAAAGGAGGGCAGTAGGGTGTGGAAAGGATCATAGGGTAAAGAAGGCAGATGAAGGTAAAGGGCATAGAGAATAGAGCTGAGGGAAGAAGGGGCTATACAGGGAGGAGAGTAGGGAGTAGTGTGGTGCTCCAAGAACACAGATGGAGGGGTGGAGAGTGGGGATGCAGGAAGATGAAGAGGGAGGCAGACAGAGTACGGGTAGAAGGAAAATTGCTGGAGGGAAAGGTAAGAGGACAGGACAGGGTGAATTGAAGCAAATTGTGTGAAGGGAGGACAGCAAGGGAAAATGAAATGTGGGGAAAGAACAGAGTGGAGGGTAGAGGAAACTCCATGGAAAAGAGGATGAATGAGAGCAGAGGCAGGATGGCAGAATGTAGGTGAGGAATGCAGAGAGCAGAGTGTGATGTCATAATCAGAGTGGGCGGTGTCAGGGGCAGGGTCAGCAGGAGAACAGGGAGGTCTGTCCAGAGATGGAGACAGCAGAGGACAGAGGGAAGAGATCTAAGGGAGGAAAAGAACACAGGTAAGAGGGACAGGAGGGCAGTAGGTGAGCAAAGGTGAAGAATGGAAGCCATCAGGATCAAGAATAGGAGACCACCCACTATGGAGAAAAAAACAGGCCAGGGCAGAAGGAAGGGGGGCAGAGGGATCAAAATAAAGGAGGTCAAAGAGAACAGAGTGAAGAGTGAACAAGAGGGCTGAGGGCAAAACTTGGAAATTGGAGGAAAGAATAAAGGGAGAATGGAAGACAGAAAAGGTTGGAGGGGATGAAGGCAGAGGGAGGATAATATAGGAGGTTGGAGGAAGGATGGAATTATATGAAGGGAGATGGAGATCAAAAGACGATGGAGATCAAAGGGCTTAGAAGATGAAGAACAGGGGAGAGGGAGTAGGAGGGCAAAGGGAGAGGACAGAGGGCTTGTGAAGGAGAGAGGGTTGTGTTGAGGGACGGGGGAGAGGGTGCTTGAGGGAGGAAGAAATCAGAGGAAAAGGAGGGAGCAATATGCAAGACAGGAAGTGAGGAGCACGGAGAGCAGTGTGATGTCATAATGTGAATGGGTGGAGTCAGCAGGGAAAGTTCAGCAGGGGAACAGGGAGGGTTTCAGTCCAGGGTTGGAGACAGCAGAGGTCAGATGGAAGAGAACTAAGGGAGGAAAAGACCACAGGTAAGAGAAAGAGGAGAGTAAGGGGTGGAGAGTGGGGATGCAGGAAGATGAAGAGGGAGGCAGAGTACTGGTAAAAGGAAAATTGCTGGAGGGAAAGGTAAGAGGACAGGACAGGGTGAATTGAAGCAAATTGTGTGAAGAGAGGACAGCAAGGGAAAATGAAATGTGGGGAAAAACAGGGTGGAGGGTAGAGGAAACTCCTTGGAAAAGAGGATGAATGAGAGCAGAGGCAGGATGGCAGAATGTAGGTGAGGAATGCAGAGAGCAGAGTGTGATGTCATCATCAGAGTGAGAGAACTGGGAGGAAAGAGGGAGGAAAATACCACAGCTAAGAGGGACAGGATGGCAGTAGGAGAGAAAAAGAAGGTGAAGAATGGAAGCCATTAGGATCAAGAAGAGGAGGCCAAAGATTATAGAGGAAAAAAAATACAGGTCAGGGCAGAAGGGGGGCAGAGGGATCAAAATATAGGAGGTCAATGGGAACAGGGAAGAGTGGACAGTAGGGCTGAGGGCAAAACTTGAGGAGGGTGAGGAAGCCAGAGGGAGGATGATAGAGTAGGTTGGAGGAAGGAAGGAATTATATGAAGGGAGATGGAGATCAAAGGGCTTAGAAGAGGAAGAACAGAGGAGAGGGAGTAGGAGGGCAATGGAAGAGGACAGAGGGCTGTGTTGAGGGAGGAAGAAATCAGAGGAAAAGGGAGCAATATGGAAGACAGGAAGTGCAGAGACAGGGTAGTGAGGAGCATAGAGAGCAGAGTGATGTCATAATCTGAAAGGGCGGAATCAGCAGGGAACAGCAAGAGAACTGAGGGGGAGGGTTCAGTCCAGAGTTGGAGACAGCAGAGGACAGAGGGAAGAGATCTAAGGGAGGAAAAGACCACAGGTAAGAGGGAAAGTAGGGCAGCAGGGTGTGGAAAGGATCAAATTTGAGGGAGGAGGTGGTTATACAGGGAGGAGAGTAGGGAGAATTGTGATGCTCCAAGAACACAGATGGAGGGGTGGAGAGTGGTCCTGGTAGAAGGAAAATTGGTGGAGGGGAAGGTAGGAGGACAGGACAGGGGACCGGACAGGGTGAATTGAAGCAAATTGTGTGAAGGGACGACAGCAAGGGAAGATGAAATGTGTGGAAAGAACAGGATTGAGGGTAGAGGCCAGAGGGAGGACACTCGATGGAGGAGAGGATGGATGAGAGCAGAGGCAGGTGACAGAGGGTGGCTTGTGATATCATAATCATTGGGTGGAGTCAGGGGTCAGAGTCATCCCTGTTCTACTAGGGCAGGTCAGTCCAGGGTTGGAGACAGCAGAGGGTAGAGGGAAGAGATCTAAGGGAGGAAAAGACCACAGGTAAGAGGGAAAGGAGGAGAGTAGGGAGGAGTGTGGTGCTCCAAGAACACAAAAGGAGTGGAGAGTGGGGCTGGAGGAAGAAAAGAGGGAGGCAGTGTATGGGTAGAAGGGAAACTTCTGGCTGGGAGAGGTAGAAGCAGGACAGAAGAGGTTGAAGTGAAGCAAATTGTGTGAAGGGAGGAAAGCACAAGATTGAGGGCAGAGGCCAGAGGGAGGAGACTCCATGGAAGAGAGGATGGATGAGAGCAGAGGCAGGATGGCAGAGGGTGGCTTAGGAGTGTAGAATGTTGTGATGTCATAATTATTGGGTGGAGTCTGGGCAGATTCCGCCCTATTCTACTAGGGTAGGTCAGCTCTCTTCCATCTGCTGAGGATGAAAGAGAGCTAGAGGAGGAACAGTAGATGAAAGAGAACTAAAGGAGGAAAAGACCACAGGTGAAGAATGAAAGTGAGAGAGGGTGATAAGGATAAAATCAGAGGTTAGAGAGTTAAGATAATGTGTAAAGGCAGATGGACATCAAAGGGAAGAGAGTAGAAATTGTGGAGAACATAAGGAGTTGTTGAGTTTAGGAAGGAGAGGAGGGATGTGGGCAGATGGAGGAGGAGAGCAAGTTCATAGAGCAGAGAGCACTAAAACCATGGCTGAGGAGCTGGGAGTAAAGAAGACGTTGTCTGTCAGTGGAGCTTTGAGGTGGAAGAGGAGCCAAGGATTTAGACATAGTGTAGAAGAACTTGGGTAAGCGCCCAGGGCCAATGAGAGGGAGGAGTGTAGAGAGCAGAGCGTGATGTCATTCATAATCAGTGTGGGTGGAGTCAGGGGTCAGGGTCAGGAGGAGAACGGAGAGGTCAGTTCAGAAGTGGAGACAGCAGATGGCAGAGGGAAGAGAGCTAAGAAAGGGGGAAAATCCACAGGAGGGAAAGGAGGGCAGTGGGGAAGCGAAAGACTGTGGTAGAGTTCAGAGGGTGAAGAAAGAGCAAAGGGCATAAAGAAAAATGAGCAGGGCATATAAGAATAAGAGTTAGGAATGCAGTGGAGGTTTGAGGAGGTAGGTCAGAAGAGAGGTGCCAAGAGGTATGGCAATAATAGAGGGAGAGCAGGGTGGAATGTGGAGGTCTAAGAATAGTGTAAAGGGAGATGGAGATAAAAAAAGAGGAAGAATGGGGTTGAAGGAGTAGGAGGATGGCAGAGGATGTTTGAAGGGGAGAGAATTGTGTTGAGATAGGAGTCTTGAGGGTAGGAACAAGGACAGTTTTTTAAGATGGATAGAGGGCTGATTATAGAAAGGGGAGCTGTAGAGGGATGAAAGCAAGGAGTGTGGAGTCAAGAGAGAAGGTGATGTCATAATGCAGAGGAAGAGAATAGAGGGAGTTAGATGCAGAACTTGGGGGCACAGGACAGAAGAAACAAAAAAGGTTATAAGAGAGCAGAATGGTGAGGGAAGTAGTTAAAAGGAGACAGAAATTATGGAACACGTGAGGTAGGGGTTAGAAAGCAGCCAGACTGAAATGGGCAGATTGAAGATGAGACCAGAGGGAGGATAATAGGAGAGGATAGATGCCAGAGACATGGTGATTGGGGATTTCAATGATGTATTGATATATTTTCTCATCGCCTGTTCAAAGAAAGGAATCTGATGAAACAGTTTGCTTGTCCTGTAACTGCTGACAACTTGAAGGTGAGGAGTTGGTGCCTTCACTCCTCCAAAGGCTTTGTGATTATCAGATGTTGGAAAAGCGTAAAATTTCATTTAACAGCCTGGAATGGACTGATGAGAGTGGTGAATGCTTAATGCAGGGATATAGAAGTGCCTTTCAAGACTTTACTAATACAAATCTAACATGTCGTTTAATGAAGAAAAATTTGAACAATATCTAAATCAATCAGGGACAATTACTGAAATTAAAGATGAGTTCATCTATGTAATTCTGACATCATTAAACAAAATAGTGAGACGAGTAAATGACCTTGATAAATACACTGAAGACCTATTTGGAAAACTAGATAAAGAGATTCATAGCATCTCTTTTAAACTTAAGATTTTACAAGAAAATATAATCCAGTTAACTGATGCTATTACTCATAAAATTCCAAATGAAGTGTTATCCATGCAAGTGTGGAAATCAAGGAAGACTTTTCCAAGTTTAACTATTGAAACACAGCAAGTACAGCAAGTATACTCCTGCACATCATTACCTGTTAACATCTTTGAAAGAAATAATGCTAATAGAGCGATACCACTTCTTACAGTGCCTTCACACTACCAAAATGATACAGAAGATTCAAGTTCTTCTGACAGTTCATTCCACTCATGTTCACATTGTTCCAAACTTGTAAAAGAAAACATATCTGTGAATAAAGAACAAACAAGTGAGAAACACATACAGGACACAAATCTAGACCATGGTAGTGAACCAAGAAATATATTACAGTGTCAACTGGTGAAAAAACAAAACTCTGTGGATCATATTCCATCCTCTGGTAGTGCGAAAAACATACAGGATACAAATCTAGACCATGCTAGTGAATCAAGAAATTTACTACAGTGTCAACTGGTGAAAAAACATATCTCTGCGGATCATATTCCATCCTCTGGTAGTGCAAAACACATACAGGACACACATCTAGACCATGCTAGTGAACCAAGAAATTTACTACAGTGTCAACTGGTAAAAAAACCTATCTCTGAGGATCATATTCCATCCTCTGGTAGTGCAGTATCTCATTCATATTTAGATAAATCTGATGGTGGCTCTTTGTTATACATTTTTCCACTGAATAAAAGGAAGCTTCAACGAAAGACTGTAGAGAACATCTTACCTGGTGAGCAAGAACACTCACATTACAATATTGGGCATATGAGCAATTCACGTCCTCGTATCCTTTATGGAACTGGTAAGGGGGACGTGGTGCTCAGCCAGCCATCTATAATTCATTATAAATCAGAAGTATTTGTCAACCCTCTAGCACCAGAAGCACCACCATTACCATCTGACTGGGCGATCCAGCTTACCAGTTCTAAAAGTCCATCTGCTCATAGAGTTGTAAGATCAACAGGCTCACCATTAACATCTTCGGTACTTGTTTTGGAAAATACAACAACAACAACAACAACAACAACAACAACAACAACAACATCTTCTTGCTTAAAGACTACATCTAACATAGATCTAAATATGCCACCTGAATTCACTTCAACACCAGATTCTCTTGAATGTTTTAAAGAATCTTTTAAGCTGCAACCGGATGATCTAAGTCCACAAAGCCAAGATCAAATGATCCCTCCACTTTTATATCCTTCAGTAATTTCACTAAATAATAAGTCATGGAACTCAGTTGTGGATCTTATTGACTCTGCTTTAGCTGTGCTACCACAACATTCCACTTGTCAACCCATAAAGTCTTTTGCACAATCAGCTAAATCTACAAATTCATTGCCAGTATCTCCATCCAAATCAAGATCTACACATGAACCACTATCAGAAAACCAAGTCCCAAATACATCAGAGTCTTTGAGTGCCCAATTACCAAGTTCATCCAGGGTACCACAATATTCTGTTCCAGTATCTGTATCATCAAGCCCCCAAACAAATCTGCCACCTTCACCAAAACGTTCTGTGAGCCACTTAACAAAACTTATCGAAGCACAGTCAAGATTACCCATGACAAATCCAAAAGGACATTTGCATTCTTCACAGTCAAAACTATCATGTTTCACCTCAACAAAAGTTACTACTCTACAATCATCATTGTCTTCTGTGAAACCAACATCCATTTCAAACCATAGAGCTGTAGCAATAAGTCAGTGTGCAATAGTGCCAATGCATCCTGGTGTGAAGCAAAGTCCTTCATCTTCATCATTCCTCCCAATAATGAGCAAAGCAAGGAAAGCATTGATGGAAGCAATAAGAAAAGGTGTTCGACTACGCAAAACTCGAGACATCATATCAAAAGATGTAACTAAGATTTCTGAAAATGAAGCAGATATGATTCGGGTCCGTCGTAAAGCAATGGGGTATAATTCAGGAAAATCAGATAGTGAGACGGAATGGGTTGAAGAAACATAAATAAACCCATCAAAAGTAAAAAATAATATTTGTTGTCTTGTTCTGTTACATCTATTTCTAATGTTCTAATTTTTCCCATGTTCTAATTTTTCCCATAGAATTTATAATTACCCACACACACATAGCATACAAAGTTTTGTTAATATAATGTAATGCAAAGCTTATCAACACATTAGTAACATGTGATAAAGAAAATGTGTGTGAGGGCTGGGTGGTGGTGGTGCATGCCTTTAATCCCAGCACTCCAGAGGCAGAGGCAGAGACAGAGGAAATTTTTTATCTAGATAGACTTCTGTGGGCAACCATAGCTGCTGTGTGTTCATGATTGCAACAGTATCTTAGTGAAGAGACACCATGACTAAGGCAATTTCTAGAAGCAGTAGTTAGTTGCATGGTCATGGTAAGGAACATGTCAGCAAACAGGTAGGCATTGTATTGGAGCAGTACCTCAGATCCCACCCCTTCTGACATCCCTCCTTCTACAAGGCCACACCACCTAATCCTTAACAGTCCATCAGCTGGAAACCAAACGTTCTCATATATGAACCTATGGGAAACCTATGGGGGCCAACTTCTGGCTGTATCATGTCCACATGGCAATGTTTCACAACAATCCTCCCCTTTCTCCAGTTTTTAGATGGAACCTGGATACATTCAACTATAGTTGTATTCAATTCTATGGGATGATACTGGGGAAATATTCTCCTAGGTAGTGGCTTTCTAGAACCAGCACCTCCCTTTAAGAAGCTACACATTTTTATACCTTTTTACCCAACTAAGTACATTTTATTTTTTTCTGCAGAACTGAATAAGGTAAGTCAATAACTATACTACAGTATGAATACTTCTCTTGAAGTTTCCACTAACCAAGTTTATTAACTTTAAATCCAGACTTATCAAGACATGAAGATAATGCATCCCAATTTGTCAGAATATATCCTTAATAGCTCCTTGCACAATTTCTGACAGTCCCTGTTCCCTTCTGAAACCTCACAAACTAAGCACCTGTCTTTCAATGTTCTTCTCTTTTCAAGATCTCACTAAATGTTCCATATAGTATACAAGGGCTGTTGTAGTTCAAAGTAACAAACTTCCCTCACCTGTCCTCCATTCCCCCAACCCTCATGCACTCCTCATGGAGGGTGAAGCCTTCCATAGGGGATCATCAAATTCTGTCACATGTGTATCCAGGCCGAGAGAGTATCCCTCCATAAGGAAAGGGCTCCCAAAGCCTATTCATGCACTAGTGATACTGGTTCCATTGCCAACAGCCCCATAGACTGTCCAAAGCCCCCAACTGACACCCATGTTCAGGGGCCTAGCTGGGTCGTATGCTGGTTCCCCAGATGTTGGACTAGGGTCTGTGAGCTTGCACTTGCTCAGGTCAGCCGTTTCTGTGTTTTGATGTCTTTGCTCATCACTCCTCCCTCTCTACAACTGGAATCCAAGAATTTGGTTCAGTGCTTAGCTGTGAATCTCTGCTTCTGATTCCATCAGCTACTGGTTGTAAATTTTTAATATTCCACATACCAATTTCAAGGGTCTAATAACCACAAGACCACTTCTCAGTGCCAATTTTCTGTATTAGTTATTTCTGATGCTGAAACTTAAGGAACCTAGGCTAATTTTGGCTCACAGTTTGATGTGTTTCCAATGGTTTAACTTCCTCTAGTTTCCACTATCTCTCAGTGGCTCCAACATGACATCCAAATCTTTGACAAATGGCATTCTATCCTTGGCCTCCAAAGGTTCATATCCAACTCACAAAGCAAACATGCACTTAATTCATTTCTAAGAGCTCCTAACATCAAATCTCTTTTAGCATTCTCAAAATTACAAGTTCAAAAACTCAGGTGAGAGTAAAGACATACTCAGATATCAAAATTTGGTGCCAAAAATGTTTCAAGATACAATGGCACAGGTTAGCATTACCATTGTAATCTGGACTAACAGAAATAGAAAGCAAATAAGACAAACACTAAAGTTCCATATCTGGGATCTGGGACATGGTATGTTGGGATTTAAGCCTCAAAGGTTTGTCATTACCAATGTGACTTTACTGGATATAGACTGTCCATGTCCACTCCCTAGGACTGTATATGAAGTCTGTCTTATCAGCTGCATGACTGTCAGTGAACATTCGACCTCTCACAGACTGTCTACCTCTTTGTCTTGTTTAGTAGACCCATAACAAGATGTGATCCTAATGAAAGCACAATATATTTGAATACTGTTACATAAGTTGCTGTGAGAGAAAAACCAATGCTAGATCTCAGTTCTAAATTCTGCAGGTTAAAATACCAATGTACGAATCTCTTAGAAACCTCCTTGTATCCTAGTTTGTCTGGTGGTGTGAATTATAGGCTGGTGATCCTTTGAGCTTTGTCTAAAATCCATACATGAGTGAGCACATACCATGTTCCTCTTTTTGTGACTAGGTTACCTCATTCAGGATGGTTTCAAGTTCCCATCCATTTGCCTGCAAATTTCAAGATTCCATTGTTTTTTTGTTTTGCCCCCCCCCTTACTGAGTAGTATGTGGCACATCTTTATCCATTCTTCAGTTGAGGGGCATCTAGGTTGCTTCTATGTTTGTGCTATTACAAATAATGCTGATATGAACATAGTTGAACACGGATGTGGATCATTTGGGTATATGCCTAAGAGTGAAACGGCTCGTCCTGTGGTAGACTGACTCCCATTTTTCTGAGGAACCACCATACTGATCTCCAAAATGGCTGTACGAGTTTGCACTCCCACCAGCAGTGGAGTGTTCCCCTTTCTCACATCCTCGCCAGCATAAGTCATCATTGGTGTTTCTAATTTTAGCCATTCTGATAGGAGTAAGATGGTATCTCAGAGTTGTTTTGATTTGCATTTTCTTAAGTGTCTTTTAGTTTTCCTCTATTGAGAATTATCTCTTTAGTTCTGTACCCCATTTTTTAGAAGGGTTATTTGGTGTTTTGGTGAATAGTTTCTTGAATTCTTTGTATATTTTGTAGATTATCCCTCTGTCAGATGTAGGGTTGGTGAAGATCTTTTCCCCATCTGTAGGCAGCCATTTGGTCTTGTCAACTGTGTCCTTTGCCTTACAGAATCATCACCCTACATGTGGAGTGGGGGGGAGCAGAATGGGATGGCAGAGTGGTTGGGGGACATGGCAGGGTGGGTTAGAGAGATGGAGGGAGGGAAAAGGTAGGGAGAGGGAACTGGGATGGATATGTAAAAAAAAAAGAATAATTAAATATTTTACTTTAAAAAATGAAGAAAACCATAAATTTCTTTCAGAAGAAAAAAAAAAAACCAATCTAACAGGTAAGATATGCTCACTGACCTAATAGTACCATGATTGTTTAGGCTATAACGAATTGCTTCCCAATTGGATTAAAGTCTGCTAAATGAAAGAGTATGCATGCCTGGTATTATAAACCCAGTCAGAAATATATTGCTGGGGATATCACAGACTCTAGAGCAGAATGTGCTACTGATATTTTCCTAAATGGACATATTGTAAATATGCTTACTAAAATTTTAGACTATTGCTCTTCTAAGTCTGAGTCAAGGAAAGCACTTTTGCAGATGGCTACAGGTAGTGCAGACTTATAATTAGTAAAAATCCTAAGGATAAGTAACTGCTCATATCATACCCATTTCAAAGCCAAAGAAATATCTCAGAAGTGAAGGCAGAAAGAGTGTAAAAGTCAAAAGTAAGGGAGTACTGGAACAAAAGGGTGTTTTTTGGACATGGTGGTACATTTGTATTTGTGAATTCACAGCAGCTGTAGTTGCCTGTACCAGACCTGCACAAGATCAGGTCAGTAAGTAGCTTGGCGTAGATGGCAGAAGGGCACACAAGGAGGAGCTATGACATTGATAGCTGTTAGCAGAGGAATAGTTAAGTTTGTTGCAGGGATATGACCCCTGATAGATTTGTTATGCAGTAGATAGTCCCTCACACCTGCATATATGCATAGTATCAATTGAATTAGGTATATGTGCTAGTTTTGACTGTCAATATGACACATTATGGATGGAGGAGGTCATTTACTACCACATGGACAATTTACCAGTATCTGGTTATATCACTGAAGGAAAATGACACCCCCACACCCAGCATCCATTATATGTCAGTAACTGCTCTGCTTGGGGAGGTTTTCCCCAACCTATGATCGAATGTTGATGGACTCAGTCTTATACAGGCCTTATTCATATACTCACATCTGCTGTGAATTTATATAACAGTCATGCCATGTTTAGAAACGGTAGCAGTTCATTTCACAGGACCCCTCCCCATCTTCTGGCTCTTCAATTCTTTTCACCAAATCCTCCATGATATTCTTGAGCCTTAGAAGGAATGATACTGATGTCCTGTTTAGAGCTACAATAATTCATTCTGGACAAATTGACAATTTATGGATCTCTGCATTAACATCTACCCACTGAAAAAAGATGTATGTCTGACCAAGACTGAGCATGCTTTTTTTTTTGTTTGTTTGTTTTTATTAAACTGGTCTGGTGTAGTGAACCTGACACTAGCTATGAGACTGGTATCTGAGAAGAGGGTACCATTTTTAGAACTAGTATCTCTTTAAAAAATGGGCACTCAATACCTAGGCTAGCTTTGGCTTGGTACTAAACCCATGTATAACATTTGTACCTGTCACCATGGTCTGTTTGGTCTTGAGCTCACTGAGAAATAATAGTAATGTCTGAAAAAAGACCATGACTATTGTCTGCAAAATTATTAATGTTATCCTTCATAATTAAAGTATTCTCAGCTAAGTTCCCAAATATCGTTTATAAATGTTTGTTTTCATTTAAATGGACTTGGTTATAAATGGTTAATGATCACAGCCAATTCTTTTTAAAGTTAAAATGGGGATTATGGTATAGGTATGAATACTTTGTTTTGGAATGGATTTTCATTTATTGATACAATTTAATGTCAATTTTGTGAGATGTGTATTTCTCCTCTTGTTTAGGTATTGTGTTTATATAGAAATATAATGTAGTACAGATTATAGAT